CAGAGGGATACTTATATTCATCTTTTGTCATGACTGGAGAACAATACCTATATCAACCTTATATTAAGTAAACCATAGATAACATTCTGTTCAGTGCAATGAAGGAGATTCCCATATGAATTGAATGGTCAATGCTAGCCCTTAAAAAAGTGTGATTGAGTGGGGCCTTATAATGACTATTTTAATTAGAATGATCATAATGACGCTTTTAGGATGATTAATGCATCCACGTTTTATTATTAGCTTGGCCCCAATGCTTCCTAATTGACTTTTTGTGCAATAAATTTTTTTGTGAATGGCATGATATATCTAATAGTAAGTTGATTCATTTTACAATTAAGTTAGGAGGTTCGGCCAAATGATTTTGGCCAACTAGCTTGATACTGATTGCTTAGGCAACCCCACCAATTTATTAGTTGGGCTGAAATTAAGGCCAAATAGGGAATAAATGCCTATTATTGCAAACAACTAGTGGAACTATTGCTTAATGTGAGAGGGAATAACTGCCTGTTATTGCAAACAACTAGTGAAACAATTGCTTAATGTGAGACAAGTTACATAGTTGGTTTCAAAGTTACATTGTTGTTTTGAGGGTATAGTCACTCAATGAAGTGTATCAAAGGAACTTGTGATTGTGATGACCAAGTATGGTGATTTTTCCACACTAGTAATTAAGAGGGAAGTGAAACTATAAATAAAATGGACCTCGTCAAACTTACTGAATTAAGAATGTCTAGTTGATGGACGCATTTCCAATAGTATCGTAAAAAATTTTGGGTTATTGTGTTATTCTTGTTCTTTTAATGCTTAAATTCTTCACTTATGCTAACAAAGCCATTTTAAATGCAAGTTCTTTATCTCTTGCTTTTGTGATACACTTGATGTGATTATAGGAGTCCCCTATTTCTCTTAGATATATTTGAAATTTAAGGAACGGCAGTTGCCAATCAAATTTGGGTTCAAATTGGAGAAGAATGTTATACTGCTTTTGAAATCACCTCATAATGTCTAATTGATTAGTTATTACTGTTTGAACAATCTAATTCCATCATATTCATGAGATAACTAGATACTAAAATAATTAATAGTCAATTTTCTCTGATATGCAGTTTATTGATTTTCTTTTGCACAGCTCTGCCAAATTGTGCCAATTAGAACATCTAAAATTGTGTTAGAAACATTTTAAAATGGGAAATTTTTTATTAATCTCAAAATGTGCACTTTATACATATTGCAAATAACTTTTTGGGCTTTGTTTTGTCCACCAAATGTTTGGAGGCTAAACCTCTTGATGGCCATTATTGAGTGCCCTCAACCTGAATCTATTTTGGATGCATGTAGCTTTCATAGTTTGACCACCATATGTAGTAGATTTCATGTTAATTTTAGCTTTTTCATCCACTATTCACCGTCTTCTTATAACAACAACAACAAGCCTTTATCCCACTAAGTGGGGTCGGTTACATGAATCATTTTTCTCTATTGTGTCCTATTTACACAAGGATTTAAAGGATTATATCATGATTTTCCGATAAATTTTATGCTGGCTATCGACTACCTACCTAACGGAACCCTCCATTTTTCACATCCGGAGTTTGGGACCCGACAATGCCAGTGTTATTCACTGTCTTCTTAAAGAATGCTATCGACTACCTACCTAACGCAACCCTCCACTTTTCACATCCGGAGCTTGGGACCAGACAATGCCAGTGTTATTCACTGTCTTCTTAAAGAAGAAGAAGAAGAGAAGAAGAAGAAGAAGAAGAAGAAGAAGTTAGTAATAATTCTGATCTTGATTTTATAATATTCCCTCTAAGTGGGGTCGACTACCCGAGTCCTTTTTTATCCATTTCGTCCTATTGAGTGTTATATTTTTATTTAATTCTATTAGATTAATATCATTTAGTCGTACTCACTATCTTCTTAAAGAAAAAAAAAGTTCGTTGGACTGTGCAAAGGCCTTCAAAATTATCATGAAACTAAAATTTCTTTTTCCATGTCTCTTTTATTTAACAATGTTTTTATGGTTATTTGTGATACTTTCATAGTAGGCATTAGTGACATTCTTAACAAAGGTTATCCTATGGCTTACTTTAGCGAAAAGTTAAATGGCCCAAGAAAACCTGTGTCACGTGTAGTGTAATTTAATGTTGTAATCTAAAATTTATATTATTGGCATCACCATTTTACATAATGTCATCATTCTTTATTTTTGTCATTTAGCACCACGGGTTATCCATTCACAAAAGAATTTTGATTCACAAAAGAATCTTGATTCTTTTCGTGCCAAGTGGCTGGAACATTTATAAAATTTTTAATGTTTACAACTTGATTCTTTTCGTGCCAAATGGCTGGAACATTTATAAAATTTTTAATGTTTACAAAACACAGACGGCATAGACAACATTCTTGTGAATGTTCTTAGTTACATCTCTTTAATAGTCAAGTTAGTAAATTCCATTGCATGAATGTCACTGTTGTTAACCACATTGCATACCACTTATTGTTGATGTTGAGTCGAGTTTGAGTGAGTTTGGTTTAACTTGAAATAAAAAATTCCAATAGCGATTTTTACTTAAAACTTCAGTTGAAATCAAAATCATTTCCAGTCATTTAAGTTTCTGAACATTAATTTTTGAGTAATTAAGTACATAACGATAAGTGTTGTAATATGTATTAAATACACATTTTATATTATACTCATTTCAATTCTTTTTTGAGTCAATTTTGAATGATTTAGAGAAAATTTGAATTAACTATATTGAGATTAAGAATATCACTCTTGTAATCCCTTCCACTTTCCACAAATAAAATGGATTCCTTTCAAAGGTTCCAAATTATTCATTTCCCTCGCATCTTTTTGTAAGTTTTTATTTGTGCATTGCATATCAGTGCATTGTTTGACATGTTTGATGTGATAATACCGTACATTTCCAAGAGTCTAGATTCTATTGAACCTCTTTTAATTATAATGTTGAGAGAGGCGGTGAATGTAGGATTTGTCAACCAGGAAAAATTATGAAGCAATGTTGGATTGAATGTCTTCTTGAAGCACCCTAATTTGGTATATGTATGGACGTTGTATAGTCGTGTGTTATAGCGGTTCTTTGTGATTTCCAATATATTGAAGCTTCACACATTGCAAAGTTATCGTTTAAGGAATTAGTTTGTCTTTATGGATTAGGCCCCTCATTGCATCTTTTGGAAAATTTTGGGCTCTAACCTAGAGTTTACATCAAATCTTAATAAACTATTTCTTTTTATAGTTTTTGATTATGATATTCGATTCATATGTTATTTGTGGACTATCTTTTGGAAATAATTGGGCGCAAACTTATTGTTTATTTACGTTTTTCACCCTCATGTTGATGGCCAAATTGAGGTAATTGATAGAAGCATTTATAATTTCTGTAGATGTCATGTTGGCAGCAACTTGGATTACGAAGTCTATATTTACCAACATTTGAATTTGTATAGGGCTCAAAAAACATATTTTAAAAATAATGTTATCATTTTCATTCATTTGAGTGTGAAAGTGCATACATTACTTATGAGGGAGTTTTGAGAAGGTTTATGTTGTTTGAAAGCAATGTTGGAATCTAAATGCATCCATCTGATTGCGTATTTAATAAATTCATTGCTTTTCAAAGCATGATTTTTAACTTAAAAAAACAAAATGGGTGATGCATGGTTTTTTAAAATTAGGATTTTCTAGCATAATTAGAATGTTGCAATAAATATACATTTTACAAAGAAAACATGAACTCACTGATCAAATGCCATTAAACTTACTTTCTTTAGATGAAAATAAAAAAAATATTTAAATTAAAACCAAGCTATGGACACTTTTAGGAGAACACATCAAGCTAATACACAAGTTTGAAAATTTTACCCAAGCCAAGTTGCTATTTTACATGACTAGCTTATTGGTATTTATAAAAAAACTAGTTTCCAATTAACTTCTCAGTAATTTAAGTGCCACATCCAATCTTCATGAATGACGGGTAATTAAGGGATCCAGATGTAGAGTAATTCAAGTGCCACATCCAATCCTCATGAATGACGGGTAATTAAGGGATCCAGATGTAGCTGCTAACCGCTTCCACAAGAATAAATGGGAATATCCGCGAGCAATAACAAAAACTTGTTCAATATTGATAGAAAATATTGCAAGAATTAAGTGCCTATATTCCTCTATACACATATTGCAAGAACGAGTGTAGAATATACTCTTATTCTGTCATTACAACAATCACTTTGAGGAATCGAACACAATCTGTTTGCAAGAATTGCTCCCACCTGATAGATAACATAGCCACGCAAATAGGAAAACTCTACCACCACCAAAAATAATCGAAGAGCCAAAAGAACGAAGAGCCAAAATCTGATCCACATTAGTGACCTCATGCGCCATTACTAGAAAAAAAACCATGTCTTTGCAACCAAAAGTTGCCTTGAGAAATTTTGCATTGATTGGCCCTTAGAATAATTTTATGAGTAAAATGACATGTATTCCAACCTTTTCACAGATTCATCTGTATCATATTTTAAAAATTATGTTAGTTTTTAATGCATTATTATGATTGTCTTAATTTGGGGCAATTTGATGTCCCCATAACATTTTTCCTTTCTTGTCAAGGTAAAATTTATACGTGTCATTATAATAATATTTATTTGATAAAAATGGCCTCATGCGACATTACTAGAAAAAAACCATATCTTTGCGCAACCAAAAATTGCCTTGGGAAATTTTGCATTGATTGGCCCTTAACAATAATTTTAAGAGTAACATGACATGTATTCCATCCTTTTCACTGATACATTTGTTTCATATTTTAAAAATTATGTTCGTTTTTAATGCATTATTATGATTGTCTTAATTTGGGACAGTTTGATGTCCCCTGAACATTTTTCCTTTCTTGTCAAGATAAAATTTATACGTGTCATTATAATAATATTTATTTGATAAAATTTTGAAACAATTTGTGCCATTTATGCAGGCGTATTGCCTGATCATCATTCTACAAAGATTTTTTCTATGGCTGTAGCTGGATCAGCAGCACAATCAGATGAAGAGGAATGATGGCGTTCTGCATGCACAAGCCGGCAGCTAAGTACAAACCTGGGAGAGCCGCCTCTTTGCTGAAAGTTCTACCATGTTAACCGTCAAGTAGAATGTACAGTATGTAATATCATAACACTGAAATTTGCAAAATATCATTAAACTTTCATTAAAAATAAATTAGTAGCAGTTACAGTTGTGCGTATGTTCTCTTGTTAGTCTTTGATGAGAACGTAACCATCCTATAATAAATAAAATGTTAATATTACATCAAAATATTACTAGTATTAGATTTTTTAAAGTTATACGCATATATACTGTGAAATGTTTTTATTTTATTTTATTTTATATTTGAATTAAAGATGAGATTCTGTTATCTTCTACACCTAAAAATTCTAATTTTATCTGAGATGTACCATGTATTTTTTAGTAAATCTACTTTGTGGGATAAAGGCTTGCTGTTATTGATGCTGTTGTAATCCACATTTATAATTACAATGGTTGTTTAGCAGTCATTCAAATATGAAGAAAATGTGTCATGTTGTATCTTTCAGAAAGGGTTATAATCATCTATTGTATTTTAATCATTTATGTTCAATGTGAAAATTCATCATTTTTTATTTTTTTATTATAGATTATTTGATGTGTTAAATGTATGTTTAATAGGTTACTCTAAAGTTTATCCTTTTCTAATATTTTGATATTATCAAATTCATATTTCTTAATTTTTTATAATACATATTAAATTTCTTTAAATTTTTTTGGCCAGTTTATTATTGATAGAAATAACTTTATATGTTTGTAATGATTTCTTTAAATTTTTTTTTGAAAATAATATTTTTTAGTTTTATTATAAGAACTTCAATTAATTTAGTTATCTAAAGTTGAGTTATAATATTAATTAATTTTTGAATTTTTTATTGATGATTATAACTTAAAAAACTAAAATTTGAGTAGGACAATACTTAAAATATCTTGTTCTAAAATTTTAATTTAGAATAATGTCATCATGCTTCTAATACTTTTAATAGGTTGATGAACTCTATTATAACATATCCCAATGATACATTTTGATGACATCCTTATTTATAGCCCAAATCAAATTTCACTTCTAGACCACTTTCACATAGCATTTGAAAGACTTTGAGATGAATAGATTTTCAATCTTTAAAAGTACATCTTCCATTAGTTTAAAGTTATATTCTTGTGCTTCATTATATCAAATGATGATCTAAACGTGGATATATAAAAATACAATCCATTGTAAACTGGATAGTTTCGAAATCATCTAGAGATGTTAGAAATTTTCATGGCTTAGAGACTTTCTATTTAAGATCTATAAAAAAATTAACACAGTCGTAGTTCCTATCATAGAAATCTTCAAGGAAGAAAATTTTTATGAACTCAAGTGGCTGAGAGAGCATGAAAATAAATCAAAATTTTAATGAATTCATTATCTATTTTAAAACTTCTGATTTTAACAAAATCATTGTAGTAATTTGTGATGCTCGAGGAACGACTGATTTTTAAGCTATTTTAACCATCTAGTTGTTTTTATTCTATGAGAAATTGAACGAGTATAAATAAACATATTCCACATATGATAGAGAATATTTTATAATAATTCAAAGTATAAATAGTGGAGGCACTATCATTTGTATAAGGAGTTTGTACTTGATATGGACAACTAGGCTCTAAAATTTATTCCCAAAAAAGGTTAAGTCATGGACACAACCCATGAGTTGAATGCCTCCAATGTTATACTCTTTCTAAAATATAAATATGGGTTAGATAATAAGACAATAAGTACTTTATTTAGGGTATCTTTTATCGTCACATCTCTAAAGATTCAATTAATTAAATTTAAAACATAAAATGAAGATTATAAGATTTTTCCTAAAATTTATCTTATTTATTTAGAACTAGACTCCAAAAGATTAGCATTTGATAGCTCTTTCCTCGTTATAGATGGTTATCCTTACAAATGTAAAAGACTATGTATCCCTAGAATCTCCATATGAAAATTTCTTATCAACAAATTGTTAGAAAATTTGGAAAATAAAAAAATTATAATTTGATAGAACAAAGATTTTATTATTCATCTATATGTAGGGATGTAAGAGAATTATAAATCAATGTTGTACTCATCTTCGTGATAAAGCTACAAAGCAAAAAACTAGTCTTTATATACCTTTGCCTATTCCTTTTAAGACTTGGAAAACTTAACTATGGAGTTTGTTAGGTTGCCTGGGACACCTCGAGGTCTTGATAGTATCTTTGTGGTTATGGATAGGTTCGTTAAGATGCCATATTGTTTACCTTGCTAAAAAAAAAGAAAGAATAAAAAAAAATGATGCATCTGACACAACTGAAATCTTCTTTAGAGAGATTGTGAGATTATAGGTGATTCCATCTTCCATAAATTCTGATAGGAATGTTAAATTTTTGTTATAAAAAGAATAAAAAAAAATGATGCATCTCACACAACTGAAATCTTCTTTAGAGAGATTGTAAGATTATAGGTGATTGCATCTTTCATAAATTCTGATAGGAATGTTAAATTTTTGTTATATTTTTGAAAAAATTACTGAATTTAATGAGCAAATTATTAAAATTCTCCACTTATTTTTTACCCCCAAACTAATGGCCAAACTACATTTTGCTGGGTAGAATTTTAAGCAATTTAAAAGTACACCTCCACATAATTGAGCTTTTTTTATAAAAGTACTATTTGTAGAACTTCCAATAAAATATCATTTTAAGTGGTGTATGGGTATAACACTAAGAGATCAACTGATCTAAAATTTTAAGCAATTTGAAATTACACCTCCACATAATTGAGTTTTTTTTAATAAAAGTACTATTTGTAGAACTACCAATAAAATATCATTTTAAGTAGTGTATGGGTATAACACTAAGAGATCAACTGATCTAACAACACATATATTCATATATTTTTGATTTAGAATATACATTTGCATGTGATTCACAACCTTCATGACGATATGAAAAAAATACACATAAGTACAAAATGTTATGTTTCCTGAATAAATGAACAAAAAAAAAGACTTTTAAGGATTATGAACTAGGTGATTATGATTTGATATACATTCTTTAAGAGTGATTCCTGTTTTTGGTTTTTTTAATATTGGAGTCACCAGCCTGTCTGATTATTGCCTTCCATTTCTCTTTTCAAAATAATTTTCTTTCTTTAATCGTTGAGATGATTTGAATATATAAGAGAGCTCAGAAGACTAGAAGATAAGATAAAATAAATAGACAAATTGAGAAACAAATATGGAGAATTTATGTAGAGTTATCCTCGTGCGATATGTCAAGAGTGTCTATCCAAACAAGATCGGTTTAAGATAACTTGAAACCATACCCATCAAGAAGTTCCCTACATAAGAAACACAAAGAACCAGAGAACCAAAAATATAAATTATGTTATGGGTTCAAGAGTAAGAATATGTCCCCTTAGTTAATTACATCGTGGGGGATATCTAAGAAAACTCTCTATAATAGTAACTCTGCATAAAAAAATTGTGATAACTAGTGAAATTAGGTTATCAAAGGAGAATAATTATCTCCACTAGGAACATAATGTTACCTTCAACACCTATACTGAGCCACAAGGGAGACGATAAACTCCTTAGAACTGTAGATGGGCAACGACCTATCAATGAATGGAACATAGAAAACAACTTGGTTGACTCAACAGAAACATCCTTATGCTTTGAAGCTTACCGAGCCATATTAGTAGAGGGTGAATCACAACATCCACAATTGGTGGTGACTTGTTAGTAATCGGGGCCATCAAGATTAATGAAGTGCGAAAGGGGAGACTAAGCTCAAAAGGGGTTTACCAACATAAGGGTCAATAAATACTAATCGATTAGAGATAACATAGTTAGAACTCCATTGATCCATCATCCTAAGCTATTAGGAACCAAAGTCTACATGGTTGTTAAGGTGATCGACCTAACTTAACCAGAGATCCTTTGTTAGTGATCCATGTGTTACATCATCCAAGGAGACCTTGATAGCCCTAAGATCAAAGGAAAGAAGAATCTATCCCTAGAATTAGTAGAGGTAGGACTTCTACCAACAGAGAAAGCAGCGAGGATGCCCTTGCAAAAAAGGGAAAAGAGAGATCCAACTAGGCAGAAACCATCAATAATGACGAACGTATATGAAAAATCTTAACTACACCTTAACCCTATTCTAGCAAGCATCTATAGCAAGGTGCCCTGACATAAACATCTAAATGTGTGTGCAAAAAGTGTGACTAAGAATGACATTTATCTTTGATGGGTCACCAACCCCATCGCCATCCTGATGATCCAAGAATTCTAAGATATGCAACTAAATGTAAATTTTATGCAAATAAAGCTTTTAAAAGATTGACCTTAAATGTGGTCTAAACTATAAATGCGTTAGACATAAAACAAGACTTAAAATTGGATATTGATAATAAAAAATGTAATTTTTTATAATTTTAAAATAAATCTCAAGGAAAGAAAAAATCTAAGTAGCACACATTAAAACTCTTAGAACCTTAGCACAAGAATACGCATGTTGGTCATGTTGCAATAATTCACATTGTGTGCTGAGACATACTCACAAGCAATGATCATTAAAGCATCATGATTAATAATTAGTTGCTCCACTAATGAGATCGATTCACTATTAAACGGACCGGGTAATGCTCATGAAAATATGAGGTGACTTAACATACCATGATTGCTTGATCAAAGTGTGAACCATCACAGAAGCGATGCCAATGAATGATAACTGGCGCGACTGCTCTACCAAGATGTGAGAAGTCACATTAGATATCAAATGATAGCCTGAACTATTATCATGCCAAGAAAGGACACGCTACAAACATATGGTGATATATGATTTCAACGAATATGCTAGACATGCAAGAGCAAAGGTGCAAGGATTCCATACTTGTATGAAATAAGCAATATAGTCACATCGCGTACATGACACCCAAAGGAGAATTACACCTCATCCAAGAAGCAACACAAATGCTCATGCAAATGAAAAGAAAATGATGAATGGTGTGATTTAACATACATGAGTGATATTAGGTTCAATCATATTTAGTATAACACAACCCAAAAGAGAATTACATCTTGCCTGAAGAGTGATCAAACAAACTCATGCAAGTGACATTCACACATTAAGCATGAGAAGCTCATTACCAAATGACATAAACGACACATGAATTATGT